TATCCTTTGTTACCAGGGCACCCGCCCCATTCAGCAGCGGGCCCACGTTTTCCCTAGTCTTCCTTTTGCTATTGATGTATTTGAAGAAGCCCTTCTTGTTGTCCTTGACATCCCTTGCCAGATTTAATTCCAACTGGGCCTTAGCCTTCCTTGTTGCCTCCCCTGCATACTCTGACAACGTCCCTGTATTCCTCCCAAGTGGTCTGTCCCCTTTTCCACATTCTGTATGCTTCCTCCTTCTGTTGGAGTTTTGCCAGGAGTTCCTTGCTCATCCATGCAGGTCTCCTGCCCACTTTGCTGGACCTCTTACTTAGAGGGATGCATTGCTTTTGAGCTTGGAGAAAGAAGATCTGATGCTTCTTGGGAATACTGGACTCACTATGGATGCTTTGAAGAGCTGATCTGTCCATGTTTGCTGCTGTGACTGGATCGGTTATTGTATGTTTGGAAAGCTGTGCAATTGCATAATGATTGCAGAAAAGAGGATGTTCCTGGGAGAACTTAGGCATGTAACATCTCTAGGTTTGCCTGATTTGGAGAAATGCTAAATCTTCATCAGCTTAATACTTTCTCTTTCAGATGAACTTGGTTTACACAACCTCTGCTTTCTCCAAATTTTATAAGCAGTCCACTGTTTCGGAAGTCAGGTAAAATTGTGGTTAATGTGTTGGTATTTTTGTTGGATATTATACAATGGAATGAGCTACAAGAGAAGCCTATTTTTGGTTGTTGTGATTTAATCTCTTTGCTACACACTTGCAATAGCAAAATCCGTTTATAACCTGTACCGATTCATTTCGCACAAGTAAGGGCAAACTTAAGCCGTATAAGCAATTCCTCATCTGTCAGGAGTATGGTTTCAGGTAACATGAAATAATGTCCTTAAAGGCTTTTATGATAGTTTGGCTGCTAGATTGTCAATATACAGAAGTTGGGACCCCGTTAGAGCCCAACTCTAACAGAGTTGTGTGTATTTTATAAATAACATATATTGCTGATATAAAACTATTTTGTACTCAGTGAGTGCTTTGCATAGGAGAAGGGAAAAATCTCTATGCTCCTATAAGGTACCCTTACTCTAGTATTAAGTATACAATTAATGCCAGAGGTTTAATTATGGTTGATACTGTTGAATCCTCTTGAACTAAACAGTTTTGGAGTGAGTTTCCAGGCTACATTGGATGTAAAGATCTTCCTCCCCACCAGGTGGGCAGAGAAAGATTGGGGTGACAATATGGAGCCTCTAATGTGTTATCTACATAGTGTAGGCAGCAGTTTTGGCATACTGCACAGTACAGTACAGTGCATGGTACAGGGAAAGGTGCACAGAGTTACATAGTACTCCATTACTGAAGATGGTTGTTCTTACATTTCTGTTATGTTCTTTGGGAGAAAATCCAGCTCAAACTTAAGTAGATGTGATTATTTCCATGGACCTCAAAAGTGAGGAGCCTTCAGGAAATCATTTTAGCAAAGATTCCTAATTAGGGATATAGATTTTTTTAGGATAGAAAATATATTCAGTGTGTCAAAATAACATGGTAGGATGTAGAATGAGCCATATTCTTGTAAATTTCTGCTTTAGAAGCTTGTGTTGAAGAGTCCTGTCTTGATAAAACTTTCACCCTGACAGCAAGCTGTTGGACCTCTTTATTTCAGTAACAACAACAATGGAGGCCTTCTTATTCATTTCTGGATCGTATTTGTAGTACCACAGGCGAAAGGCCAAGTGCTGTGTGAGGACTGTGTGGCTGCCATCTTAAAGGACTCCATTCAGACAAGTATCATCAATCGGACCTCAGTGGGAAGTCTTCAGGGCCTTGCAGTTGACATGGACTCCATTGTAGTAAGCGGTTAGTATTAGGACATGCTCATTCCTTCAGGAAATACTTAATTAATCAGATATTTTTATCTTGGAGTAACAGTTTCTATAAACATACCAAAATCTCTATCATATGCTTCTAATATTAAATTTATGATAATAATAATACAAAAATTTGGAGGTCAAATTAAGGTACAAAATGTCCTGATTGCAAAGGCTCCTTTTCTTTAAGTGGTTATGTCCAAATTTAGAAGTTAAGCCTGACTGTTTGCAGCCAGCTCAGATTTGGGTTAAGCTGACTTTACAAATATCAAAAGATCAAGGGTTAAGGCTTCCACAGGGATCAAACTTCAGCCCCTCTATTAAAAATGAGATTCATATCACTCCTCTAATAAAGATTAAAAGGCTTATTATATAGCTGCCCATTCATTAAACAACTTCTTTTTAAGTGCTACTCCTGTTTGGGGAAGAAATCAGCAATGTAGCATTCAGGTACCTGGATAATGTAATTCATTACAAAATCATGCATGATTTTCAGCTCTGTAAACAAGGTCAGAACAAGCTTCATGCAAACAAGCGTCTAACTGAAAGCTGAAAAAGGCTTTGTGGCCATGGATGAGGAAATGACCTCCTGAGCACCTCTCTTTTGGGCCTTCAATTGAATTTGACAGCTCAGTTCTCATGCAGTCTCTTCTTGCCTCAGACATTGAGATTCTGCCTATGATATGACTGCTCCAAAGCTGCTCCCAGAATTTGGAGAGACCGAGGAGGCTTTGGCAGCCTCCCTCTTCGAGACAGCTGTTCTATTCTGCATGCTTAGCGTTTTATTTTAAGTGAGTGTGATTAAATCAAACCTCAGATTGTGGATTTTGTGCAAATGAGAAGACTTACAGAGCTCTCTTTTTCTATGCAGCTGGTCTTCGATCAGATTATTGGTCAACAACGGGAACAGGTAATTTGCCATTCTTGAAAGCTTCCTGGCAGAGCAGAGGTAGAAAAGGAAGCTGTTACTTCATCTCTTAGGCTCAAAGATAGTGCTCAGTTTTAATTTAGGAAGGTTAAATTCAGCCTTAGCGTTTACGCCCTGACTTGCTGCAAGAGTGACCAGGGGTCTTGCCTGTGACAAATGCAGAAACTGTCTGCCTTTATTTTGACTGAAAATTCGCAAAAGCACCTGGTAAGAAATAAACCAAGTCAGTTCCTTCTGTTGAGGGGAAAGAGAGTAACCACTTCTAATTTGGGTAGCATTGAATTTAAGTCCATTTATTAGCTTTTACCCTCAATGACAGCAACACTTAGATCTGTCCTTTAACCTCCTCCCTTTTCTCCAAGGTGGACGATGAGTTTTGCTTTTGAATGGATTCCATAACAGAAGTAGGTCTAGGCAGTTGAATTTTGCCAGGTTTATGGGAGACACCTTTCAAATACCTGCCTGGTTTCATGTTATAACCTTCCCACTGGAATTCTTTGGCAGGGTGCAAAGAGACTCTGCAAGCAGGACAAACAGAGTTTAAGAGTACAACAAAATTATGTTGACTAATAGACAGAATAGATACCTAGGACTAACATGCTACTAGACTAAGTATTCATACACTAATCACCTTTGATGTAGCATCCTGATGAGTCTCTGTTGGCCCAGCAGTTGTCAGTCAGGTAGGGATGTGTTGACTTCCTTTGTTCCTTAGAACAGAATTACTCTTCAACTGGCTAAGTTGCTATCTTTTAATCCTTCTTGGTTTTTAAGGGCTTTATATCTTTCCAGGTCTATGTTTCAATTTTGTGAGACACTAATTTGTACTGTTTCAACAATTAAGTTTCTATGTGTTTTCTGCTTCTGTTATTTTGCTTTACCTACTTTCTCAGAGCTCAGCAATTGCTTTTTTCAGTGCACCCAAGCCAAGGTCTCATACCTGCGCTGTCCACAGCTGGACTTTGGGTCACAGGCCCCGAGCCGCGGATTTCAATGCCTAGATTGATATCAGCCCATAATTTCTCAAAATTCAATTCATATTTGCTAAAACAATCATTTATGCAAAACTTTTCTTAATTTAACTGCAAAGCATAGCATTATTGGCCTTTGTGACATCTCTTTACAGGCATTTTAATTATGTAAAAGAATTGTGTGCATTGGTGCCAGCTCTCAGAGTTTTTTGGTTAGTTTCATTTCAGTATGCTAGGGCAGAGGAATTAGTACAGTCAGATCTCATGTTTCAATTTATTCCATAATGTATTCCCTAAAGGAGAAGAAAATAAGTGGAAGAAGAGTAACACAAATATTGATGCTAAGGATTTTTTTAGGACTTACATCATCTGCCTTTCTTGCAAAGACAGAAGAATGAAATGCCACACTCTAGACGTTTTTCAGAGACTTAGTGTAGTTGAGCACAGTTGGACTGGTGTCTGAAAGAAGTATAGTGTTGGTATGGGATGGGTCGCAAGGGAACAGCAACATGGATTGCCAAAGGGTTTAAAGCCTTATATTGGTGCAGTTTCGTTTTCTGACTCAAGCTGGGTTCCCTTCAGTGTCTCTGCTTCAGACTACAGAACACGGTGCAGAGATCCAACTGCTAATGCAGCAGCATACACAGAAGGGGCATCCCGCGGTTGTGTTTCGAGAGCAGTGGAGTTACTTTGGCAAGGAGGCTCATCTGGTTGATTAGTTCAGGTGCAGCACTGAGGTGCAGAATTACTGAAGCACTTGTGCTGATTCAGCTGATACTGGCGACTTGCATTGCTGTGGTGTGTGGCTAGGCAGGGTCCAGCTGGGTACTGTACCCAGCTTTGGTTTCAAACTGGTGTACTTGCATTGCCTTCAATTCCAGAGCTGGCTCTTATTTCTTGCACCACACTCCTCACTAGCAGTGAGCCAGTCACATTATTAAGCATTTAGTAGAAATTATTGTAGTCACTTAGCTCTATAGAGTTTCTTTATGAGCAAAGCTGCCTTTGTTAGGGGCGAGTAAACAAGCACAAATAACTATTATGAAAATAGTGTTATTGGGAAGAGATAATAGAAGAGGGAAGAAAAATGGCTCAACCAAAGCTTTAAATAGTTATAACTGTAATTCACTTGAATGGTAAGTGACCCTTACAAATTGTTCAGAAACATTCATATCATTAGTTTCAAGATTGTAAATTAGAAGTGGAAAGGTTCAGACAAAGCCTGCCACTTCCTGTCTTGATTAACTACTAGCAAAAAGGCCAACATTTTATTTGAGTCAACAATTGATAGGGAACTTTCACAGTGCTCTAATTGATGTTCCATGATTGTAGCTATTTCAGAGACTTGTCTTTTTAATTGGCAGAGATTCATGCAAATGTTTACTTTGGGTCATGTTCTCCCTAGTCTGCATTTTTGCTCCTTCTCACCTTTCAAAGAGCTATGTTAAGAGTTTTAGGTATGACCAAACAAAAAAATTCCCTGAGCTTTTTGCTGAATGGAAACTGCAATGTTGAATTGAAACAAAGGCCTCAACATATCTGACTTGAAAGCCATAATGGTTTTGCCGTAACTGGAAAGTTGAATGCAAGTAGGGTAATTTTCTGGTGATTCTGGTCTAAAATATGGTTTTATTTAAAAGAAAAAAACCAGCTATGTTGTGTTGGCTCACATATATTGTATATATTTCACAGTACTTCCATTTCTAACGATGACTTCTAATGCTGCAAGTTTTCAAGACTTGACAGGGTAAAGTCCTAAGTAACTGGGTCTCAATTCATTTTGACTCTATTCTGAGCAGGAGGTTGGGCAAGAAATGTCCTAATGTCCCTTTTAACTTGAAAGAATTTGTCTCTCAGTCTAATGGCAGTGTCTACAGCTTATTTTTCCTAAAACACCAAGGAGCCTAACATTTGAATAAGAACTTAAAAAATAAGCTGCATTTTTGTGTGTGGGAGTTTTTTTGTTTTGTTTGTTGGGTTTTTTTTAGCATTCTAATATCCATAGGGAGTGCAGTTGATTTCTTTCCTGACAGTAGATGAACATTTCCTGGGGAATAATTGTTTAAGTTGTCTAGTCTTTGGGCTCCACAGAGCTTTGTGCACTGCAAATCACTGTTCTAGAAAATGGCAGTGTTCTAGCGCAAATATCCCTATAACTATTTACTTGCAGTACTGTTTGCCATGCTCTGTAGTTTTATGAATAGATTTGACCACAGATTTGTAATTAATTAAGAGGAAAACAGCAAGTGGGATAAACAGGCTATTTTTGTGTTTAGATAGGCTTTCATACATTGCTTTAGTTCAATACAACTTTTAGTATTTTTGCTTGTTTTGGTTTTTTTGCACTTCGCGCGGACTTAAGTTTCAGAGCAGGTGTCCAGTGTTGAAAATGTGACATTTCCACAGGAACAAATTGTATGTATGATCTGTATGCTGATCACCTACATGAGCGCTTTCCTCTGGATGTCCCTGCTACTTCAGGGGGAACAATTTGCTATTTTAAACTGATCGCATTAGTGGGCCATCTTATTCGTCTTTCAATAGTATCCCTTCAGATTGAAGCAGATAACTGTATCACTGACTCGCTAACCATTTATGACTCTCTGATGCCAATCAAACATAAGATGCTCTACCGGTGAGTATAAACTTTCGCTGAGAATTCATTGATAATAGTTTGTTTTTTCTGAAGATTTGTCATCTGCGTGTTTGGGGTTTTGCTCTGTTTAAAACACTCTGTTCTTCAGCTGCTACACAGATAATACCTGGCAAGATACCTTTTTTTTTCTTACAGGAGCAGAAAAGTTGATCTTGCTGATAAAAGGAACAGCTAAGTATTCTTCAAATTCTTTATTCTGCAAATAAAATGCATTCTCATCTAGATACAGATATATAAGGAGTTCACACATTACTGGACGGAATTTTCTGTTTCTTGTCAGGAAACAGATGTTGACTAAAAGAAAATGTCAAAATCTCCTCCCTTGAAGAAAGTTTCCTTCCATATAAAGATTAGCGCTCTTCATACGCAGACTGAAGTTCTAAAACTTCAAGTCTCTTGTTTCCTTTTTTTTTTTTTGGCTGCTCTATATGAGCTGTTGAGAGTGATAACAAAAACTAGAGCGGAGGCTCTGACGGGTAGCGGGAGGGGTAGGGTCTGTTTTTCTTTTAGGGCCCAGAATTCTTATCTGGGGATTTTTTGACTGAAAATCCTAGTAGCTAATTCGATAGGGCTCTGTCAGACTGTAAGGCAAAGACACCACCTCCACTAAGAGAACAAAATGTTCAGTGTTTTGACCCCTGAAATCACTTCTCCTGGCCTCTGAATGTGTGAATAAGCCGCAAAAACGGCACTGGCTTTTTAGTACTCTTAGACTGCTGTCCTCTAGAAATCTGAATCACTCACTGACTTGTCCATGAAACAGCAGATGGTGTTCACTTATTTATTAGTGGTGGTGGCCTAAGGAAGTGTGCTAGGTAATGCATACAGAAAGTAACATTTTTATGAGACTAGTTGATATGGCTCAGGTTCTCTGCTTCAGACTTGAACAATATGTCGCTTGTTTTGCCTGTACCCCTGGTTCCCAGCTAAAACTGTTGGTCTAATAAAATATATTCTCTCTCGCTATAAATCTCTCTCTCTCTTTTTTTTTCCCTTGACCTCATTAATTTTTGCTGAGTGAAGGTATAAAAGGCTAACTCAGTATTATTTCCTGGAGTTGACCAGTCCCTCTTATTTTTCATGTTTACAATTTTTTTTTCCTTCTTGCAAGAAGTGACTTGGCAATACCAGGTTTCTAACTGGTCTTCTGACAGGTAAGTCACAAGTGATGAAGTGCATGGAATTTTTTTTTTTTTTTTTTGCTGCGCTTTGGACTGGGTGAGCTCTGCAGCAGTGGAATTTACACAGAGTAGGAGTAATGTGTTTCTGTTACAGATTGCCTATGAATGTACTCTGCTTTCTTCCCCTCTCAGAGCTTGTGAACCAGCCGATTCATTGGTGTCACTTGTGTCCACAAATAATCTCATGTTGATAATATTTAAGGCAGCACAGATAAACAAATGGAAGGAATTCCATGGATATTTTGAGGTCATTACACAAGAAAGTAGGTTTTTTCTGACTATGGATATATATTTACTGTGTTATTTATAACTGAGAGCCCAAAGTGTCGGTCGCGTTCCTGAGTCTGGATAAATGACTCCTTGCAAATCTGCATTTCATTTTCTACATGCCAGTCTCTCTTCATCTCCTCTAAATTACTAAGTAATTGTCTTTCTCCTGAGTAATTTCAGCTATTTAAATTAGCTATCCTAAAGTGAAATATTAAGATGGCATGTTAAAACTAGCACTAACTGAATTAACTTGTTCTGGACTCCAGTGTGCCAGTAGGTGGAGTAGTTTTTTCGGGTGATGAACCATTTTTCACCCTCTCCTGGTTTGGGACTCTCAGTAATGATGTCAAAGGTGGAAATTTTAGAGGATAAAGCTTGAGTCGATCTATCTGCATTTTCTATTGGTCCCTGCCTCCCTGTTAATACAGAGGAATCGGCTATGCTTGTACATCGATTCTCTTTTCCACTCAATATTGCTTTACGAAGTGGTTTGATCATAATCTACAAATATTACCAGGAAAATCCAACTGGTAGCACAAGGGCAAAAAGTGTAACACAATCCAATGCCTGGAAATTCAAGCTACTCAGAAAGATGCTGAATAGTTTTGATACCTTTTTTTAATTCTCTAAATCAATTGGGCATTCATACAAAGAAAACTTTAGCTTCCAGGGGCCTGATTCTATTAGCACAATGTTCATTTCTCTTTTAACTGGCTACATTTTTTTAAGACTAGATGTCCTGCACATCGATGCCTTGATGTGCAATACTGCTTGAGACTTCTTTGCAGAACTATCTTCAGTGAAATAACTGACATAAACCTTCACAATATTTTTTTCTGCTCCTGCAGAGCCAAAATAAAAATCAATAGCCCAATAAAAGGCTCAGTTTAAAGAAGGAAAAGACATTCTGTGATTCCCAAACTTTTCAGCTGAAATGTGAGGCTGCAGTCATTTCTGATAGCCTTAACGTATCTAATAGATAATGTGAACTGGTGAGCGTCCTGTTTTGTGAGAGACAGACTCAACTCAGCAAGCATTCCTAGATTTTTACATCCCTTGTGTGTTTGCATCATTTGGAAGAGTTTATTTTTACAGCTGAAACCCAGATAAACACAATTCCTAAGCTGTCCTGTTTTGCATTTGAAAAGTTGTGATAAATTTGGATGCTTAGCCTACAGAAATAGCATTACTGGAAATACGTTAAGGTTTACCAACTTCTGTGTCTCTTTTTTTCCCCCCCTCCCTCCTAGAGTGTGGAAAGAAAATATTGACAAAAGAGAAAATTGGCTATGAAGGGAGGATCATGAGTCCGTATTATCCAAGCTATTATCCTCCAAAGTGTCTTTGCGCGTGGAGCCTCCAGGTAACATAGCATGCACTCTCTCTAAGCACTGCTGCATGTTTTGGGCACAGAGAACCTTGAAATATAGCAGAAAAGATAATGTAGGGAGTAATTTGCTTTCTCATAGATGTGCCAGTTTATAGAAATAAGTAGAAAAGAGACAGCTGAATAGCTGTTGGGGGGGGGGTTCTTTCTTTCTTTCTTCTTATTGACCAAGAGAACAGCTAAACTGTCTAATTTTGAAGTTGAAGAGCTGAGATAAATTTTTGAGGTTTAACCTATAGAACTGCTTCACTGCAGAGAATGCAAGACTTCACTGACTTTTCTTCTCTCCTCCCTTCCCCTGCCAAACTAATGAGGGGAAAAAAAGACAAAAGAGAAACCTTTGTCCTCTAATTTAGTTAGTGCTGCTGCTTCTCCATTATCCCCTATCAGCCTATTTTGTTACGCTTAATAAGTTGAACTTTGTCTTCTAAGATGGGCTGTCCATTTCTCTGATTTTTCTTAGTGTCTTTTTTTTCTGCATCTGCTCATGTACTTTTCTGCATGTGAATGACCAAAAGCTTATATCTGTTTAAGACACTCTCTTCATGCATTGTCTGATGCCTGATTTCTCTAAAATGCTGCAATTCTACCCCGTGTGGGGTGATGTCTTACGATTTCTTACGAACAAAATCTATTAATACACCTTTTCTAGCAAGATTACTCGTTGAAGCAACAAATAAAACAGTTTTCAGAAGTTCTTCAGGAACTTTTCTGGTACCTCTTTGGCATCACACTTTTCCTCTGGAAAAAGCATGGCAGTGGATACAATCTAGTCTATTATTTACCTACGTTTCTGCTTTTGCTACTCACCTCTAGCTAAAGTACTTGTTGCCCACATGGAATCACACCAGTTAAAGTGGAGTACACCTAGCTAAGGCCTAAGGCCTCTTTCTCCTCTAGAAAACTAGGACGATGACCTTTTTGCCAAACTTCAAATCTTCAGGTCATACTGGACTTCTGAGGCAAAGGTTTCTGGACGCCTAACAAGGGCAACCCCCTTGGACTTATTTCTCAAAACCATTTAATTTCCCAACAGTTTAATGTTGAAACTTCCCTTGTTTCCCAAATTATATACCAGCTGTAAGAGAGAGAGAGAAAAACCTCCATTTCTGGATTCTTGTTCTGACTCAGCCCTTCTTTTTTACAAGACAGTGTTCCTTTAAAAAAGGTTCTATTCCTTTTAAAAAAGGAACTTCTGTTAATTATGTACCCTTATGATACTGCTAGGCTTAAAATAATTTATAAAATACTAAAGAGTCCTTGGCTGAGCAGGTGCTAGCAGAAGGCTACAATATTGTGGTAGAAATAACTACTAGCCTTTCAAAGGTGACACAGGTATTCAGTGCAGTGTCTAACTCGGCCAACCACTGGGGCTCTTTGTTCCTGTGCGAGTAAAGCTGGGCACGTTTGAGTGCTTTGAACTCAATACAAAAGCTGCCTTCTATCTATGGGCAGTGGCTTTTTGAAGATGAAAGGATCGTTTGCTTGAGGGGGAGAAACCCTGCAGCTGTGGTTGGGCTTTGCCAACCTTTGCTTTTACTGGCGACTGAATAGCTGGCAGGTGTCTCAGGTGCTGGCTGTTGAGCTGGGGAAGTCAGCGCAGCTTCCCTAGCTTGGCATTGCTAAGTGCTGTAATTGCTGAGATGAAGCTAAGGCCTTTCATGTGCTGCGTCCACAAAAGGAAAAGGGAGACTGTCTGTACTGTCTTTGTTGCTCACAACAGACTCCACAAAAGAGCCTCGGTATAGCACTGAAGTTTCATAACTATACCATAAGTGAGAAGAATATTAAAGGCTGTGAGCGAGGATGGTGGAAAATTAATGAGCACATGTAAGTACTTCTGCACGGTTTATTAAACTAATGTCACCAGAATCACCTTTCCCATCGCTGCAGCAGTTGGCTCAGAGAGGTTCCACAAAAACAGAGAAGCTTCACTGGTGTCTATGACCATTCCTCTTTCACCTTGGCTGATGGAGTAACTGAATCTTCATAAGACGTTTAAAAAATTTTCTAAAGAAAAGTACGGTGAGGCTGAAAATAAGGGCTGTCTATGACCTCTGGAGAGGTAGAAATGGAAAGAGCGGGCGAAGATAGGTAACTGTGATCTCTGAGATAATTTTGGGTTTCCTGGCATCACCAAACAAAGTCTGTAGAACTCTTTGAAGTGTAACTTAATTCTATGATTGTTCACAAGGACACTGAACTTAAATAACTTCTCAGTGAAAGGTATTACAGTGAGATTATTGGGAACAGTACAGTAACCGATTTCGCATTGCAATCCCTGGCT